ATCCGACTATGCTACAGTTCGTGTTTCCAACGTGGGGTCTACATAAAATACCTTCACAGCGAGAGCCATGTTTACACTGACTTCCTTCAACAGTGAAAGCTGCCATACGTACACGGACAGATTCGCTTATCAGCAATACAGAACCACTCGTCCATATTTCCTGGACATGAAATCTAGCAAATCATAGTCATCTTTAGTGATCCCTCGCAGCATATGAATGAGTTAATGGAAAGTCGATGATATCCTGAAACTCGCTGCTATTCTAATGCTTTCGTATCTATAAATGATACCTTTTAGCAAAATAATGTCCGTCCACACATGATGAGGATCTTTATGGAAAGTTACCAACACTTTTCTAACCTACTAAATCTCCATAGGTACAGAAGTCATTTCATAATATGATGTGTGTGTATTTAATTATGGCAAAGCACACTAGGGCTATCTGCCTAAGGGGAGGGATGCCTTTCGTGGAGGACTTTCTAAGGGAAACTGGCTCGTATACACGTTACACATGGGGAAAACCACGAAAACACCCATGCAGCCAGCCCGTTCGCGGGATTCGAACCTCGGACCGAACTACCAGTGTTCAGCGACATTACCGCACGGCCGCTGGTGGGCCATTTCATAATAAGAACGAACTTAATAAACAATGCAGAATAATTGGTAAAACATTTTCTAGAAGCATTCGATATTTATATAAGGCTATGCTATATCAGAGATTCTGAAGCATTGCCATCATAGGCGACTAATATGTAAGAATACGTAAAAACTAATATACTACTAATATGTAAGAATTGTGGAGCTGCATTTGCTTAATAAATGAAGTGATGACTATCAGATTTCAATATATCCTTCATCTTTATTATGTCATTGTTCATGTCGAGTTTTCATCCCAATCAAACATCTTTTTTTTCTGTTTGTGCGAATTTGTTTTTTACACATATATTTCACACAGCATCTTCTTATACCAAACATGCTCCTGTTTTCCTTCAGCTTTCACTGTTTTAAACACGAAAGTTATTTAGTATGTTCTTAAATGTCAGATAAGCATGAATATGGGAATTTGTAGCAATATTTTTCTGTTTTAAACTTTTATGTCCATCAATTATAAATTCGAAAACCAATTTTAAGTTTGAAGCTGCATTTAGTGCCCCATTAATTCAAATGTAATATATCTGAACTCAATTACAGCTACAGAACCATTACAATCAATGGAAAACTTGCCAGAATCTTTATATTCAGTTCGCTTGTTATACTATATAATTATATTATTATTATAGTTATATTTCTACGTGTTGTTATAACTATAATAATAGCATAAAGATTATATATACGCGTGTGTGTCAGTATTATTATAGTTATATTGTTATAATGACAAAATAAATCCATCATAATATTCATAATAATTTTATGAATAAAGCAAAAACCCAGAAAATATTAATGTTGATGAATTCAGATCCAAAATTTAAGTGGCAGTATGTGAGACATAAAAAATCACTTGCCCGATTCTAGTAAGCGCAATCCAATAAAAATCTGACGCTGTCATAAATGCTTATTGACAAAGCGTCCATTGCCCATGAAATGACACCTGTTGCGTTTGGGACTCGTGGCGTTAATAAAACCTATTGTGTGATAATCAAGTAGTTTATTTTCTTCAGGACGGAAGAAATAACCTGAGCAGCAGATACCTGTATTTCAGCGTCGCCACCTTATGTTGCATATGAATTTCTTATTTTATTTATTAAAATAGTGGATTCTAATTATTTCTGTTCTAAGGAACATACTTTTCAGTTTTCATCTTCTTTTGGTGAAGATGTCCATGTGCATAAGTTTGATTAGATTGGTGAGTACATGTATTAAGTGTGTGGATTTATGTATGCATTTGTGCAATAAAGCAAAAAAGATTAGACAGGTGTATTTCAAAATGCACATATTTATACGTCTATATAATAATGTTAAAACGTAGCAAAAAATATGAATGCAATGAAATTGAAGACTCTATGATTGTAACATGGAAAAATATTAATGAAAATTTGTAAACAGGAGGAGGAAAAAAGGAAGAACAAATTCATTAAACAGACAGAAATATTGGTCCAGATATACAAATATTACAAAACATTTAATATAAAAAATTGTTACATTCCACATTATATTGAACTACTTCTCGTATCAGTATTATATGAATTAAAGAAGGTACAATAAACAGACCTATTGTATTAGCAACTACGACATCTATATTTATACGCTTTATGTTATTCCATTGACATCTATTTATAAGTATATAAACATTGTCTTTGAGTACAAACATCAGTAAAACACCGTAACAGCTTGAGGTAAAAAATATGAAAGGTACATTCGAAGATTGATAATCAAATTACGCGAAAGGTTAAAGAGAATACATGCGATAACAAAGGAATGAGAACGGGTGAATCAATTAATATTAGACACATAATCAGATCTGCAAATGCAAGGTAAACTGGATAGTATTTGGAATCAAATAATATGTTGAATATATTAATTCCCCTTATATATACATAAAATAGTGAACATGAAAATAACATGAAATAGTTTTAAGCTAAATAGTACTACAATTAAAAATTAAATAAATACTAAAGTCAGAAAAATTATTTACAACTTGATGGTCAGTTACACAGATAACAATTACAGCAGAAACAGACTTAATAACATTCATACATAAGTACATAAGCAATTACAGCAGAAACAGACTGTACAACAATTACAGCAGAAACAGACTTAATAACATTCATACATAAGTATATAAGTAATTACAGCGGAAACAGACTGTACAACAATTACAGCAGAAACAGACTTAATAACATTCATACATAAGTACATAAGCAATTACAATAGAAACAGACTGTTTACAGCAGAAACAGATTTAATAACATTCAGACATCATAAGTACATTCATACATAAGTTCCAAGCAATTTTCAAACTGATATTTTTCAGTCATAAATATTCTTCTAAATCAGACTACAGATAGCAAAAGACATTAAAAGTTTTTCTATTTTTCAAGATCATAAGAGCTGAGTATTAAGATTTCTTTACAAAATACGCTGCTAATATGTATTAATTCTAGACACATATAGAGATATTTTTTATTTGATAAGACAGCATTAGAAAATATCTGTTACAGATTTTATTTCTCGTTTGCGAAAAGTGTGATACAATTACAAACTGTCAGTAAGCTGCTTTAATATTACATTATGAGTGAAATTTATTGAACGGGTAAATTGAAATAAAAATACTACTTCCGGCATTCCTAAAAATGCACTTTTTAATTGATATTATTACACTTTTATAGAAAAATCTGAGTGATTTTGCATACATGATAAACATTTAGAGAATTATTACATTATATAATAATATATAATATATAAAACGATGCAAACATCTAGTACTATATACATCTGAGTTTTAAAAAATGGCATATATCAAACAGATCGTTTCAAAAATAACTGCTTTGTGAAATGGAAGTCGAAAGTGAATTTTACCTTAATTTGAAGCAAAGCTAAGCAAATAGTTTTGATCTCAAATAAAATTTTGGTTTTAAAAATTTTTATTGCCCCTCTATCATTGTTTAATAGAATTGAACTGTTAGTACTGGTAAATTTTTAAAAGTCTACAATTAAATTTTGTTCCTAGCATATCATTCAAGCTAATTCAGCTTGCACTCTGCCAAGGATAATTTTCGAAAATGAATTGAGTTATTAAATTAAGGCAAAATAACACTATTACTATGCATTTAGTTCCATCTCAGGTTTGACTGAAAATACCCCAGAACATAGAATATGAGGTTTCATGGCCTTCATCCTTTCTCCTCCCACCAGCTTTACGAGACATTTGTTGAGACAAACTCAAATTTGCATGAACATAAGTTTCACACATTTCAAGTGAAATTACAACCGTAAATGAGAAATTGCAGCTAATCGCTTAAAAATTGAATTTTTATTTTACGTAATGGGATTTAAGAAAAAATTGGATTTTTATTTTATATGACAGTATAATAATAATAACTGTTGTTATATAAAACTAATATTATTAAAACGGATTTGTTATTTCCGTACTTACATATTAACCCGTCGACCATAAAAGCTGGCTACCATCGAACTATGAAAGTTGTCGGAGATCCCGCCAAAGTCGCACCAATCGTCCCTGCGGAAATTTTATAGGAAGTGACGCCAGTTTATTTAATAAACAATCAGTATTCAACCAGCTTGATTCCTGCGCTTAGTAAAAAGGCATTCGTCGATTTCTACTATTTTGTTAGGCCCTCCTATTTTACCGGAAACTCTGTTTAGAAAGCTATGAGTACAAACTTTCCACAGGCAACTGTTAAAATCTATTGCTGTTTCGTCGGCCATATTCAGCCGAGCATATCGTGTCCATTAATAAACACATATTTGATGGCAGGATACCATAACTTTGAAAATAATCCACTGCTTCTTATTCTGTAAAGGGCAGGTCACAAATTTTAATCATTTGGTTTTTCAGAAGAAACCAAAGGAGGGATTATACATCGCAATGCAGTTTGCAAGGAGATTATACGTCGTTAACAATTAATTTATATTTTTGTTCATATAAACAAAAGGTGGCTTATGAAGAGTCAAGCGGAGTTACATCAAACGAAAGAATAGATGTTAAGAGTGTGTTGTTACATCTCGCTTTCCATAACTGGCACTAAATCGCACTGCTTGGCGATAGTTTCAGCGTCGAAGGGATAGCATGTAAGTACCGTTATTTTATATAACAGAATACAAATCAAAGTCTTTAATGAGGATTTGGAAGAGATGTAAAATAAAATAAAATCTTATGTTTCAAACTTGCCTATTCAATGATTTTATGACATGCTTCCGAAAAATTCCTGAAACTCGCCTAGATAATCTAGAATAAATGGCATAACCTCCGAAACTCCTCAGGGAATCGGGAAGAAAATGACACCGCCCTAAAAGAAAATATCAAAACTGCTCATCCAGCAATTGTTCTTATTTTTTGCTAGATACGGAGGAGCATACACATTTTAGCTTCTTAGATCAAGAGGGAAAATATTCAACTAGTTCTTAATCACACCGGTATTCCGAATGGAATGTTACAGAAACAACTAAACAAAATGCTTAATCTTATTGTGGTCCTAAGCAGTTTTAGTCTACGAGAGATTTCGTGAAATAAATAAAGAAAATATTACAAAAATCAGGGAAAACTACTCGTTACATCACCTAAGAATCTAAATTTCAGAACAACGTGAAACACTAAGAACTAACACTCAGAACTAAATTATTTTTCAGGCATTAAGATTCGGGTCTGTGAATATTTAACTTAGTTTTGAATTAAAATTTAATTTACTTGAATCTTATTACAGTTTTAATAAATATGCTTTTAATGCCTTTCAGTCTCATAAGAAAAGATGTCATTTTTGTTTGGAAATAGTAAATTGGACACAAACCCCACCCGCCCCCTATTACTTCCATTCATACGGTAAAGCCTAATTATGAATATCACAAGTAGAAGTAAATCAAATGAGTATAGGAATCATATATCCAGCTCATCAAACAGACTCTAACAAAAATTCTTTGAGATAGTCCACACAATGATAGTCAATGCCGCATTTTGCTTCTTCGGATTATATCAATTTTCACATGAATTTTATTATCAGAAAATGCATATTAGTGTCATTTCATCCATCTTAGTAAATCGCATTTTAACCTTACCATATTTAAAAAATTTTTCAGGGAATAAATGTATTTCCTATCCACCCTCGGTACTATTAGATTTTACCTATTTTCAAGAAATTTCACAAATTACAACTGCAACATGCTGGTAGAATAAAAATTTTAAAAAACAGTAATTTTCTAAATAAAAACTTTGGAAAAGTAACAATTTTTATTTATCTAAAATTTTAACTTGATAATATATTATGTGTCGCATAGTTATGCAACATGAATATTAATATTTGTACGTGTTGCATTTTTAGAAATAATAACTTTAAAAAAAATGTGCTTTTCAACTGGTAATTATTGATTGTAACATTTACAGATAAAGCATAATAATTATTAATGTATCTAATTTAAATAAAGCCGTAAGCGATATTTCAAAACTTTATTCATTTGTTTAAAACTGCTTTTAATTTTTTTCAGATGTAAAGAAAAAAAACATATAACACAAATCTTAGGAACAGACAAAACAGATGACATCATACAAGACCTTTAAATGTGTTACTGAAATCAGTCAGCAAATGAGGAATTCACAGTTGCAAATACTGAAAGTTGCAAACTGGTTACGAACCTTAAATTTACAGATGCATAATGTAAAAAATAAATAATAAATTCCTTATGTGCGATAAATAATAAATTCGCAATGCCTAATAACTTTTAACTGATAACTAGTGTTAAACGTAATTTTGGGTGAAAAATTACTTTATTTTATTTAATAAGAAATTTATTTTAGAAACTAAAGATGATATAATCTATCTTTCAAATAGTATGAGAAGCATTGAATACATTAGTACGTTTTAAAAACCATTAATGCCGAGAGTTATAGTGCATGAAAAAAACAAGCAAAGTTTTAAAAAGAGCGATATGAGGTACTAAGTTTAAATTCTAAAAATAATTTTAAATACAGTTTTGAGATTGTTATTTATTATAAAATACTAGACGTGGATTTTAAATGTTTTAATGAGTTATAATATTTCTTGATATTTAATACATAATTCATTAAATTTCTTATTTAACAGAGCTAATATTTGGATATATTAAATTGAAGTAATATCCTCAGTTAAAGTATTAATGAATTACTCTGATTTGCTAGCCGTCTACATTACAAATGGGATTTTAGTGTTAAATTACTCGACTCAGTTTCCTACTACAGTACCAGAAGAAAGCAAAGTACGCAAGTGAAGTGAAATTAAGCTACGTTAAAAATAATAAGTGTTGCACATAGCGCATACTTAATACCCACTTTTGAAAGACATTTAAATTTTTATCCAATGTATGTAGATTTCCCACCGCAGACTAAAATGTGCTTTTAATTTTTCATAACTAACGAAAAAATCCAACTTAACCGCCATTTCATTTACCAAGACATCTAGCGCACGAATTGTTTTTCTCTGAGAATTCCTTCATCTAGTTCTGAGCGTTAGAAATTCTTTGACTTAAGTGTTGAGTATGATATTAGGAAAAATACAGCCATAATATTAGAAAAGTACATTTATAAAAGTATACTCCATTTTCTGGAAATGGAATAGCTAATCGATTTTTCTTGGAATAGTCCACGAAAAAACTATTTTCAACTGTTTAGAAAGGAGAATTTTATCGACCCTGAATAGAATTTATCTGATAGTACATCTTACGCAGATGTATATCGATTGACATAAACATCTGGAAAATGAGATAGGCTCTTAAAAATTCATGATTGGTGAACTATTAGATGCTGCATCATATGCAAAGTATCGCCACTACCTGATGCCTCGGAATCGACATTTTTGGAGATCACATTTTTAGACTAGCATTAGTTTATAATAAGCAAAGTATATTTGCATTTCTTTACTAAAATGGACATGTTAATCACACTGTTAGTCCAAATGAGTAATTATTAAAACCGATAAATAAATTTTAACAAAATACAACAATGAGTAAATGTGAAACATTTCTTTGACGTGTCATTGGATTTCACTAAGTATATCAACACGAAAAATGTGATTCATACAGAACCTTGAAAGGTACTCTAAATTTTTAGTTGTACTTAAAAATTAGCTTACCCGAATTATAAATGAAACTTTTGTGAAAAATAATGTTAATTTATTAGGAAATTGCTTAAATTGAAGTAATGCGCTAACGTTTTATATTACATTTATGATATTAAAACTCTTCGTAGAGTGTTGTTCAGAAATTTTATATATGTTACGTTAAATACAAATATTAGAATAGATATACATTATGATAATAATAATAATTGAATACAGTTCCTATTCATCTATATCAGCATTATATCATCCAACATTTAACTCACGTTTTTACTGTTGAAAACAGTGTTGAGTGAACTCGTTCGTGGAATTTTAATCAAGGAGGGCTAAAGGAAAATATTAAATAAATGTACTTAATGGTTCCCTTTTATTTTAGAGTATTAATTTCAGTAGTTATTGACATGAATGTTAAGTTTCAATTTTTTAATATTAATATTTTAGTATTCCAGACATACAACTTCCCATTCAGAATTTCAATTACTATAATGTGCTTTATCGTTACAATAAAAGTTTTTGAGTTTTGGTGAATGAATTTTTGTTAGTGCTCATTTCGAAAGCCGGCTTATATGTATACCAGTAGTAAATTTTCTAAGATTAGTTAGAGAAATGATGACTAAGTTCAAATATTTCTTCTGATGAGTTAATTATTTCAAAATGTATACTTTATTTTTTAATGAAACTAACGGGTTTAAAAGACGTATTAAAGTTAACTGATTAATACAGAGATATGTGTTTATGGTTGGGATTAAATGCAATTTCCATGCAAAACAGACGGATATTTGTTCAACTCAAAATCAGCGCCTAAACTGTCTAGAATAAATGCTTATAATAAATTCGTTCAGTCCCCAACTTCATTGCTCCGACGGCAGTATATATTTTTGTATTAGATGGAAGGAATTGGTGTCTAATTCTAATAAAAAATTACTATTTTAAATATATTTCTAGAATATTTTATGGAATCCTCAAAATAATAATACGTATCCAGGAGTAGAAAACTTATTATGTATTTGAAAAATGCTCTGTCTGACTTTTTTATTAATATATATATTATCTAAATCGACGTTTCTCGAAGTCTGCCACTAGCGCATTTCTTTCTACATGACCACGTCATTCATGTTTTTTCAGTAAAGGCATTTATACAGTTTTTTAAAAATACATACATACATAATTTACATAAACTATAAATAGGTATTTTAAGACACGTCTGGATCATTAATAAATTTTTGTTGGGTTTCATATACAAAAATTAATTTGATCTTCTTCCTTAAGATGTTATATTACATTAGTCACTCTTGCTTACTGACGAAATCATATTTTTAACTTTTAACATTTAGAGATTCTTGGTTCTCCAAAGGTTTAATAACATCTTACATAACGAGACTATATTTGCTTTCATATTAAAAACAACTTCTTTTTACTCTTCATTTGTAAAACCTTAAGTACGTAAAACCATGAAGTAACACTTACAAATGCTAAATTACAACCATATAGAGTGATACTACACTTTATTTAAATTAATTTCTTGTTACTCATCACTTTTATAACATTAGTGGTGTGAAAGTATGAAGTAACATTTACAAATATTAAATTACATACTTATAACATGACACTACATTTTTTTTAACTTTACTATACGTTATTTATATAACATTATGTACATGAAAACATGAATCAACACCTATAAACCAAAAAATAAGCGATAGTCCTAAAAACATATAAGACGCATTTATAACAAACTTTTAAAGAATTTTGACTAAATGTTCTACAGAATAAAAAATACATTTACGAACTATATAAATGCAAAATTCAATATTTTAGAGCACTCCATGAATGAATTAGAGCAATATTAAAAGAGGATTATACCGAAAATATTTTTTTAAGAAATCATATAGTGGCATTTCAACTTATGCAAAGTTAGTAACGGAAATTTTGCCTATGAATTTAAGGCTGTGAAGAATATGATTTCAATAATTCTTAACAAATTTGTCAAGGAATTATTTTAAACACCTCTTCTGATGTCTTCTTTCATGACATTAAACTAAAATCACATATACATTTTCCCCAGATTAAGTGATCTCTGAGTTTCATCATTCAGAACTGAAACCTTCTCTTCCATATCACAAGCAAAGCAAACATAAATCAATGTACTTGTGTGTAATGTACTAGTACCTCCGGATAGTAGCATATGCATCACGAAATACAAATGAAAAAGTATTTCATCATATACGTCATCATCTCATCAATTAAAACACATATTTTATTTTTCCTAGGCACTGAATTCGAAAATCACAAATTGATTAATATATACTCGTAATTTAAATTTCGTGTATACCTTATTTTTATAACACAGCGATATAAAAACCGATTAGATTTTGAAAACGCCTTTCACTCTGAAAATGTTGAAAACGCTTTGTAGTGCCAGTTTTCTAAAATGGGATGAAACAGGTTAAACACCTCTCACTGTAAGAAATTTATGTGAAGTGTTCGTCTAGTTTTCAAGAATACGAGAGAATGTCTGGTGAAATTGAATTCCCTTCTCTCTCTTGATTGATTCCTGCGGCAAAGCGAGTGTCTGTTGCATCATAAAATCTGAAACGTCAATGCCAGCGGGGAAATACGGACAATAAACGAAACATGAAAAGGAAGTTAGAAAATAAATTGTGGTATCCTCGAGTCGACAGTGGGAACTGCTCTCTCAGTAACACACGTGTACCTGTGTATTAACCAATATAGGAGTAGGTATTCTGAAAATAATAAAAATTTTCTCTGAGCACCTATTTCTTCTTGCTGTAACAAATCTTTATTTGTTAGTTTCAAAATTAAAAAATTATTATTATTATATATATTCTATTTTCAACTCATTTATGTAACATATATCTGTTCACTTAATCTCTCGCTATTCGAAGAGTTCTATAAGAATCATTAAAAGGTTAAAATTACTATCAGAATCACAAAAACATATTAGCTATACGACACGAAATGAATTTAAAATTTTCAACAACGTAAACTTTCTTTTATAAGATATTATATTATATACCATTTACTGTTTCCTCGTCTTAATTGTATATGAATTAGATAAAGCATACATTACCTTTAGTAAATTTAAAATTTATATATTCTATACATCTCATATATTTTCAGGATAAAATATATGGGATTTTACATTAGTTATTCACTCTAAAAGTATTAACAATGAAGATATTAGAATATTTATAATGAATTAGTTAGTCAATTAAAGCTACATATAAATTTTAATAATTAGCTAAATTTATCCTTTTAATTATTCTATATTTCAAACAATTTGCTCTGACACGTTAAACGAAATTTCTGTAATTCGTTTCACAACACTGGATTCTCTTAGACAAGTATAGTTTTAGGCTATATCGTTTACTAATGGAATGCCGAGAGCGCTTTAAAAAAACTGTAATAGATAAAAGGTTTCTTTAAACAACTTATATCATTCCACTGAAAGAAATTTCTTGGATATGTTTTTTATGTTCGTTAATTTAAAGCGTATAAAAGAATGCTTTTTTATTAAAAATCTGGGGAAAATTCATGAACTTTGTTGCAAATATGCCAATCAAACATACTGTCTACAATAGCAAAGTAAGAAAAATAAGATATGCTAATTTTAGAAGTGTCTTCTCTAACACAGATTTTCGAAACCGATATTATGTTAGATTATACATTAAGTATTTATTTAGAATGTTACTGTATATTGAACTTCAGAAAAAAAGCGTTCTTGATATATAATACCTTTAAATAACCATGGCAATGAAATATATAAAAATATTATTGATCGGCAGAATTCTGAAGTCCGTAAATGAAAGTAAAATTCACTTAGAGAAATTTCAAATTAATTTAATTAACGATTGAAATCCTATGCTCTGTCATATGCAGTATAGTTAACAAGTATTTAATTTTATCAAGACCCGAAATTTCTCAGTCAAGCTGAAATAATGTTCAATTCCTAGAATATACGTTTAACAGGTTTTTTAAAATGTTCTTTAGTGTTTAAATACGTTAGTAAAAAAAAACTAGTATTATGCGGCTCAACAAATGGCTTTTTTAAAGTAGAAAGGCACAATTCATGAAAACTTTAGTATCAATATACTCCTGGTACTAGACTATTCCATTATTTTAATGCGTCAAACTTAGATTGGGATACACGAATAACGTTTCGCACGCTTCGTGAAAGCTTCTTATACATTGCAATTAAATCGCCATCATAATTTTTAAATAATTTTGCTTTGTGGCACTTAATTATGAGATGATTTACTTATATGATGATTTTGTTTAAAATTTTAAATGTACATTCTCGAAGCATTTCATTGTAAAATTTTAATTCATGTCAAATCTTTTTATTCTAATACGCGCAGCGAAAATCCGCAACGCTCTTACAATTAAAAGTATTCATATCTCAAAAATCTTTGGACAAAAAGATGTGTATGGAAACACTTCGCAATTTTTTTTCAATAAAGTTTAGCTCGATGCTTCACACTAAAAATAGAAATACAAGTACATGGAGAAAAATTTAATTTTATATTAGAAGTTCATTTAATGTCAGAAAAGGATTCCTTTATGGGCCAAAAGTAAAGGTTTTGAGCTCTCCAAAAGACGTGTAATTATTACATGAGAGATATTATTTTCTGACAACGGTAAAAGTGGAGCTTATGTTCATTAATTGTTTATTGTTCATGAAAAATTCATTGTGCAAGTACGATTCCTATTCTTGAGAATTTCCTTCAATAGAATCTGTAATAATACTTAAAGCAAAATATATAATCATAAAAGCAGTAGTGAAATATAAAACTTTTTGAGGCCAGAAAATGACAAAGATCCTAAAAATTAAATCAAATTTGAAAATTGTTAAATTTGAAAACATTAAAGCATATAACTTATTAAAAACGTCTTCAGAAACTTTTACCATCCGACAGAATTAAAATGGCCGATTCTTAAAATATCAATCAAAACCAAAAGTCATATTGCACACATTTCTCATTTTTTTTTCAAAACGAAGAGTTTCTTATTAAACTTGGATTGAAATAATTAAGCATTACCTTAATCCAATACATACATTTTGTAAAACAAACACTTTTGCAATATATAATGATTTCTCTGTATTCCGTTGTAATAAATGTGCCTAAGACTGTAATTATTTCTTCAGAACACAGGGCCCAAAATCTAAATTCTACAAGATTTGAGGCAATTATCTAATAATTCAATAAGTTCAATACATTTAATTCTCTTTTTTACAATTAAATAGAAAAAAATATTATACAAGTTTGATTAATGAATCGTACAGCTTTACTTATGTCAGAAATTAAACTTCTTAAAAATTTGTGAATGGACTATCTTTATGTTATTATAAGGTAATAAAATCAGATTTTATAGCAATAAATTTGGCCTAGATTTAAAAATATTAAATAATTTAGCTTTTAATGTATGTGGAATTTGTATCCCCTGATTGCATATGACAAGTGATTAGCATACATCCTAGTTATTTACCAGACATTTTCCTTAATAATAATTTTTTGAAAATAAACAGCATATTACCTTAATTGTAAACAGAAATTAAGCGGTAAACCTTTATAGTTTTAGAATTAAAATCAAAATGTCAGGTAGAGATAGAATCATAACTTAGAGTTACGAATTTTTCTACATATAGGTTTCATCTTTCTTACAGTAACTCCTAATATATTCATCAATACTTAAATAATTTAAATTGCACAAATGAATCACTTTTAGTTTTCAATTTTGTTTACAAATATACAGTACAATTTTGTCTTGCAACCCAAAAGACATAGACGACTAACCTACATATGTCATTAAAATGAATAACAGGTAAAACAACAGCAAGTCATATGTCTTACAAATGAGAACTAAAATGGCTGTTAATTAATTCTCAATCAAGCATCCATTGTCCTTATAACTTCACATAATTTGACAGATAGCTCGCATATTAAGAATCAAGCGAAAGCATGAGAATTTAGTGTAAGAACTACTTACCCAACCTAATGAAAATCTTTTCAAAATCTTCATTATGTTTTCATCCACGCAATGAGACAGGAATAGTTTCAGTCCCTGATGTACTTGTTCTCGACAAGTCCTATGTCCTGAGTCGATCTGTACGCACAGTTAAAAGCTTTGGCGCGTTCATTCTGCAAGCAAGGGACCCTCCAGCAGCAACAGATGAAAGTTTGTATAGTCTCCTTAAAAGCTTCACGGAAATCTCTGTTGAAGTACGCATAGATGATGGGATTCAGTGACGAGTTGAAATAGCCGATCCAGAAAAGAACTTCGACAACTATATCAGGGCAGTAGCAGGCGTCACCACACATACTTATTGAGACGTACCAAAGAAAGAAAGGTAGCCAACAAAGAATGAAAGCTCCCATGATAATGCCCAGGGTCTTGGCCGCCTTGTGTTCTCTTTTCATCTTGTTGATATTTCTCTTAGTAGGAGTAGATTGACCACTTTCCGGATCGTCGCCATGAGAATTGCGGTGAGGTGGAGCATGTACGTTTGGAGCAATCGAATGATCGGTACTATTCCGTGCACTATTATGCATCATTGCCGGCCCCATTTGTGACTTGCACATGAATTTCTCTTGTCTGACAGCCTCTACATATATCTTATAATATGTGAAAAGCATGATGAAGCATGGTATCCAGAATGAAACACTGGAAGAGATAATAGCATATGGTTTATTTACCACAAATTCGCAAATTTCGGGATTCTTTTCTCGGGATGTCAAATGATCATTGGTTGTATACCAACCTAAAAATATGGGTATGAAGCTGATAAGACCAGAGCTTAACCATACGCATGCAATCATGATAGCTACTAATTTGCCAGTGATCTTAGTTGGGTACTCCAGTGGTTTGATGATCGCGTAATACCTGTCTACGCTGATGCAGCATAAATGCATGATTGAGGCCGTTGAGAAAAGTACATCACAAGAGTTCCAAAAATCACAAACAGTTTGATTGAAGAGCCACTTGCCTGCAATCATGTGGCTGGCATTGAAGGTCATAGCCAATAGAGCGACTAAAGTGTCAGCGAATGCGAGGGATACTATGAAATAGTTGGTGGTAATACGTAGCTTGTGATAACGGTAGACGCTAGAAATCACAAGTATATTTCCAAATACAGCACATACAATGATTGTAGTCACTGCAAGCGTCTTAAACGCTAGAGTGACTTGAGATTCCCAAGTTCCATTTTCAGTTTGTTGAGTTAAGTTCGTCGGGGAGTTTGTGAAAGTGTCATTTGAAAATATGAGCGACTCGTTTGATGACGAGTCGTTAAGAAACACGGTTACATAATCTGTAACAAGAGGTGACTCAGTCATATTGTTTTAAAAAGTTAATTGTACCTTCAGTTAATTTTTAAATAGAGCTACGTCCCTCAGCTCAAAACATTTCAAGGTTTTCATGGATAGTTCTTAAAAGTCCACCATAAAAATATTAGCTGCACTGAATATTACAGAAAATCAGGCTGTCTTAATTTTGTTTTTGTTCATAAAATTTTGATTTGTAAGATATTTTCTACATGAAATTTCTTTCTCTTCAAATTTTAAAATTTTGAACGATAAGCTGATTGCGCGCATATTTTCGGTGATAGCTACTTGTGTCTCTCTCGTGTTATAAACTGTAAGTTACATATCATGAAAATAAACTTTATCTAATACATAAATATTATCTCAAAAACTTTCAAGCAATTCTCGACTGGTATTAGTTAAATAAAACTCTTTCACAAAGTTAGAAAATAAGTTTCTCTAAAACTATCTCTCTAACTCTTCACGTCTAAGAAAGTTCTAAAAAGTTGCTTGAAAAAGATAAATTCATTAATATTCTTTATGGAATGATTTAAAAATGTCTTATTACTATAAAATTAAAGAAAGAAAACTGCCCAAGTACCTGGTTTTTAGTTCTAGTCACTTTTTCAAGAATTTCGCAAAGTGGTTTGTATTTCTGGGGAAAGGGGGAAATAAACTTTTGTCTCAAAGTTATTACAGTTGTGATATTCTTCCAGGGATAATTAAATTATTGGATTATCTTTCGTCAAAAATACCTTTCAGTTCTTCTCTCAGAAAGTTGCTGGAGTTCGACGGCAGTACACTGAGGAGTACTGGAGTGTACCCTCCGTTAAGAAGTCCTGCGCTAACAGTGGCGGAACATATGCAGAGCACTAGAAAATTTGGAAATAAATCAGCGCCCGTAGGGTGACATCGGATTGGGATCTTTCTGATAGGAAGACGGTCCGATACAAGAAAAGATAAAAGAGTGAAAGAAGGCGAAATCCTTCTATGTAATGAGAGGGAGAGAAGGAGTTAGGAGAAAGAGGCTCCAGACACCCAGAGAGCAGGAGAATCAGTGAATATTGAAGCAGGGGACGCTGCCGGAGATATGCTGTCGCACAGGGTTGCCAGCGGCTCTCAACTCTGCAAAAGTCAGCCAAATATGCTTTCTCCAATTGGGACAGATGCCTTCATCTCTCTCGACGGTGGTATTATTCTGCTCGCCGAGCCTCACGATTTATTCCAAAAGTTGAACTCGGACCTTCTTATATAAGGTATGTATGTGTGCTTGAGATCACCTCATAAGTATGGATGTATGCATCCGCTCGGACGTATGGCGACCATTTATGAGTGGATACCCATAGGCCAGTGAAATCAGCGTATAATATTTTCACATTAACGAAGTTCGTTCAACTTCAATGTTACCAGATCTTAGTTTTTCTTTGCGCTCTCTTTTCTTTTTCTATTTTGAAAAAGTCTGATTACTGCCTTAAAGTTAAAAATTTAAGGAATATTATACAGCTAGCATATTATTGAAGAGAAGGAAAGAATTTAACACACTTTAATCAATCAATAAATGTACATCTAGATAAAGTGTTTTAAAAGTCAAAATGATACTTCGCAAACATCATTACACTTTTATCTCAAAAGCTCTTGAATTACGAACAATTCTAATAAAAGAAAATATAATAAATGATTTACGGAAAAATATCTATTAATTAAATTTTTTCTTAGGTATTACTTTAATATAAATAATTTAAGCTTTCGACCCATCTCAAGTCATATTTTAAAGAAATAGTTACACTACGCATTACGTCAAGAGAATTACTTATTTTATCACTTGTTTCAAAGTAAATTAAATTTAAAACATTAAAAGAATTTTAATAAATCAAACTTAAAGTAAAGAAGAAAAATTTTCATAAACATGCACAAATCATATTATTGCATATTTAATAAATTTCATCTCATATTACTGCATATTAAACAACTCGTAGGGTGATTCCAGTTAAAACAAAAGTAATCATTTTCAGCCATAAGATCATTTTTACCTCGCATTGTTATTTTATATTATTTAAAACTCAAGAAATTGTATTCATTTGTAAGATAAATTAATTGACTTTATTTTAAAGTAAAGTATTTGATTCATACTTAGTTTCATTATGATATTTTATGCATACTTTCTCCTCCCCTTTTTCTATTACTTAAATGTCAGTGATTGTTTTTAACAATACATTTTTATTGATGTCTATGAGCTATTTTTAACAAACTAGCGCACATTACTTTAAAGCCTAGTAATTAAGAAATTTTAAGTACCTTTTCATGCCTAACAAATCGCTAGAAAGATGAGGACTCTTTTATTTTAACAAAATATAAAGTACACTCCCACAAAGTGAGTGTACTTAATACTGCATTTAACGTAGCGATACAATAAAAGCAAATCTATTTCAAAAGTCCTAGGAAAAAGTAAAAAGAATGCAAGACTAAAAGCTGCTTATTCTTAACTGAATAAATATTAAACACGTTAATGCTTGAAAATCCAAACTTTTAATATGAATTCTTATATCGTAATTGCATAATTTTTCTGCATTTTTTTACTTCTGTCTATAGGAACAAATAACTGTTTAAAGCATTTAATTTATTCACCTGTCTCTTATAAATAAAACAGAGTTTAAATTTTTCATATTATTCTAAGAGTGTTCGCTCAAAAGGCCTTCATTTTAGTTTAACAATTTATGTTAAAAATGAGTCAATTAACTGATTTTTGCTTTTGCCGAAAACAATGCATAGTTCAATCAAAAAGTAAAACCAATCAATTTTTGCCAATGCCTTTATTTTTACTTTTACTTATACTAGTTTATATAATTTAATTTTATCACTTGTGATTCTTCAAATCTGTAACTTTTCTTATGCACATATTTGTAACAATGCCTTCAAAAGTTATATCGGATTACCCTAATTTTTACAAACAAAGTGTAAAGTAAAGTGTATCGGCTTTTCTGAAGCACCGGTGATTTCTCCATCACAAGGAAAAATAAAAGTCACGAATAAAATAAAGAAAAAAAAATCTAGACACTTTCAGCTGCCAGTTTTCAGTTCTTCTTTCCATTTTCTTATTCTATTTGAAATAATTTGATTTAACAAAAAACAGTGAAAAAGAGAGACGCGTTTGTAAATTTTAAATACAAACGCCGACAATCAAATCGCCTTATTTGTTGCATTTTACACACTTGACACTGATTTATTTTTCGTTTCTTTATGCAATATTTTTACTGCTGAAAACAGCTGACTTGAACAAGTGATTTACTAATAAAAGCTCGCGGATGCAGTTGGATACAGTCTTGCAATAAAAAATTTCAATAGGCAGAATGTTCATAAAAGCTTAAAGGAGAATAAGGGATGCTGCTAGACTTGGAACAGATGAACTTTACAAAACAACATGTTTTCGAACTTGTTCTTTTTCATCTGCTCTAAAGTGTTTCATAATATTTCATCTTGAAAACAAGGTACTTTAACAAATCTTGGATGATGAATCGCTTTTCAACAATCTTAAGATCTCAAAGCAATTGACTCATGTGCATTCGTTTAAGATTTTTTCCCGCACATTTTCATCCTGAAGTGGTTAACTTTCTTGAGTACTCGTATTAGCTAATTTCAATACATTCGTAAATAAAAATCTTTTCAGATTCTTCGTCCATATTTAATTTAAAACTTTAATGAATTTTAGTTGTAAAAGATCTTTTCATCATAGTATGTTAGTTCATTTAACTGAAATCACATATTACATTTATTCTTATAAGCATTTCTGTAGACGTCGTAATTTTATACAATAATTTCATTTGCGATCGTCTTCCGTAAGCTAGCCACTGCGTATGACTATCAAGAAATAATGAATATTAACCCACTCAAATAGTGCGAATAAAATAATTTTGCATTTGTTTTAAATTTGTACACTTAAATGTATAGTTGTTAGCATTTTCTACCCAGTTTTAAGACATATGAGAGCTTTCCTAAGATGGAATTTAATACAAGTTTCAACCTCTTTCAAGGCACCCTAATATAGGAAAAGTTTCTAAATTCAAGTAGACCAGAAACTCCCACCTACTTTGTTCTCAAATTATAATTATTATTAATTATATAATAATTATTCTCGAAATTTAATATAAAACGAATTTTATTTCTTTCCATTTACATGACTTTTGGAGTAAAATTAATATCCATGATGTGGTAATCAGCAAGCAGGTACCTATCCTTCTTTATATTTCATGGCGTTTTACATATGCAGCAATGAATTTCGCTACTGTATGAGTTTAACTTCACATACACCAAACGGTATTCCATAATTTTCATTCTCTAGTCCTCTAAGTAACTGACTGAATAAGACTACCGAATAGGATAGACTCAAGTTCGGTTCCCGGCCATTGAACAGGTTGAATATTTAGGGGTCCTTTGTTTTCCTCTTTTGCAAAATGAAAAGAGCAGTTTTCGTATGAATATCCTCCTCGAAAGCGTATCTTCTAAAGTAGATAAACCTCGATATTTTTTATGACATTTATAAATTTTGGGGTTCTTTTGTAGCATGAATCAGCACTAAACTTTTAACGGACTTAGGGCGTATTATCACTTCATCTGACAGGAACTACAGAGTCTTGTAGAGGTTTAAAACAACCTTTCTATAAAATCAGAATTTTAAAATAGACGTTTGACTCTTGCTTAGCAAAACAACAACCACCTGTGACGATGTAACTTAAAGTAACAGTTTAGTTTCAACTTTAAAACTAAGTTTAGTCGTCCAAGACTATACATAATTGATTTAAAGCAAAGTTAGCTCTAACTTCTAACCAGGATAACAATTTTAAACGCAGGCATAACGTAAAGTCGAAAAATTACAATCTTATCAGATTATCAGAGCTGACGCACCTGTGTGTTACAATCAGAAACCCTTGAAATCCAAGCTTGAACTGGCTGTTCCGGCCTCTCGGTAGATAGTGTTGTATAATAACGAAAATAAAATGTGTATGTAAGCGCCATACTGGAGTAACATGTATACGCATTACAGACAAAATTAGCGCATTGAGCCTGCGAAGAATGGGTGACGCATTCAAAGTTCGTAGAAAATATATATAATACACTGATTAAAGATTTCAAATTCCCTGTTCTATTTCTTTTTAATGTAGCGAAAAGAAACAAATATTTGCTTTTGTGAAAGGCCAGATCATTATGACAAGGTTGCTTTCAACAGCAGCGTTAATAAGCTGTAGAGGCTGTGCAAAATATCGGCTTGCTCAGCGGAGCACAGCTATGAATATTCACAGCTACACATCATCAAAAATACTTGCAATTCTTAGTACTAGATCGCCGACGACTCAAATAGAATTGCATAGCCAGAAAAATCTCTATTTATGTTTCATACAGTGTCTGTCTCGGGGTACTCGATATCGCGTTCGTTTTATAACCTATGATTCTTTCACTCTCGAATGGAATGCGAGAGGTACCCAAATGGGTTCAGGGCGATACTTTCTTAGTGAGCCAAGGTGGCGATACAACACTTAAACATATCAATTTCGTAGAGCAAAACAGGATACTTCCCACTTTCTTAAACATCATAGCTGATCAATTCATCCCTACGGGACTTTGCTAGGTAGGCCATTTTAAGATAAGAGCTCCTGCCATCAGTTGTGTATTATAACTGCCGATAGTATTTCACAATATTGAAGATTTAAGAGCCAACTTCGTGTTTAAAGTACTCTGCGTAGCCTTTGACTATTATCTATTTATATTTTTAGTTTTATATTGAATTTCTATATATGAGTTCTCGCCATAAATGCTGGCCAATTTGTAAGCACCAGGTGTGCTTTCTGTTCATCTTACTTAATTTTAAAATATAGGGACTTTTACGCCCTTCTCAAATATCTGTAGCATTTTTGAAGACATACCGATGTCGCTTAAAGGCTTATTAAGGATTAGCCACACGTTAAAATTAGTAAAAGGCTCATTCCTTACAAATGTAATATAAAAACCAATATTTCTCTCGTTTTCTCGGTGTACATAAATGCCATTCAGTAAATGTATTTTTAGACATTAGCATTCTCAGTTACACTGAATAAAATATCCCTATGGTGCTCTTTAGTTTTGAATTTCAGCAGGAATTTCAAAATCATTGGCTGCTCAAAGCAGTACTTACCTGGTTCTTGAAATCAGTCGTCGTGCAGTTCCCTTGTTTGATTAACTTTTCAATTACATTTTTCTTCCATTGTGAAAGAGAGAAAAAAATTGACGATGTAGTGGTATACAGACATTAGATAACGCTAACGTGGTCCCTTTCATTTGTTTCTGTAGGAAATTCTTAATTTTGGGAACTATTATCATGTTTTTACGCAATAGATATTATTCTTCAATCTTTTAACCTATAGCGCAGTTTATGAAACATTTTAAAAATATATCAAGCTATTGAAATTGAACAGCTTAAGTTCGAAAGCTTTAATAAATCCAATGATCAATGCTCATTTTTGCAAAATATTATACCTTTCGTTTATTATTTTTAAGTCTAAAACGAAATCCTATTTTCTCTCATTTGAATCATTTTCTTAGTTCAAATAACGAGTTAGAAATCTTTTTCTATGTAGAGCTTGTATTATTATCAGGTTTAAAAACACGTATTTTACACTGGCAGAAATAACTATAAATTCTAGTGCGTAGCTAAATCTTACTATCATACCATTTTCCTCAATAGAAAGGTAGATCAAGGCATTAATTATTTGGCAACACCATTTTATAACTTTCAGTACTTGAAATTCATAATTAAATTATAAAACAAAAAGCTTTCTAGTTTTATGATTTATTCTTCATTGTGTTATTGTTTACAAAATTTAAATGCATTCGTAATTTACAATATTTTAACAATTTATAATGAATTTATAATGTGAAGAGGATAGGAGGTTTCCGAAATCTATTTTTCGCAGTGACTTTGAGATTCCGGTAAAAGTAAGCGTATTTTAAAATGAGGTTTAATTGAGGAAATTGAAAGTGTTTACATGCTTTGAGCATGATAATTTTGTTAATTGTAAAAAACAAATTACTTGCTGCTAATTTTCTCGCAAGAAGCGAAACTTTAAGAATTTTGTATTTATTTTAAATAGGAAGTTGTGGTGTTAATAAACATTTAATTATTATACAAAAGGGCGTTTGCCATGAAAGGCTATTAATTTCGTTTGGGCATTTTCCGTTGAAAACTTTAAATGTCGGTTCACTTTTCAAACTGTTGCCACCATATATTATCGCTCTGTCTTACATTTAAAGAAATTAAATAATGAAGAATCTGCATAAATGTATATATGTTTCTCGCACTGTGATAAAACAACTGTACCCAGAGCCATCAAAATTTTAATAACGTAATCATCCATAGAATATGGGCATGTGGAAGACCTAATTTGAATTTGAAATTTGTTTTATTATCGATTTCAGATTTTGTAAAACTTCAATGAATTTTTGATTAAAAAACTAAACGATTTCAAAGCGAGCAATGGCAACACTGTACGAAAAAAAATTTTTTTATCTCCAGCGCGCGAGACTCTGTATCAGAAATTCTAAAGATATGCTCATTTTAAAATTAATTCACGATATTGCTGTTGAACTGAATTTTATACTTTGAGTAGGTAGAACATGATTTTAATAAATAAAGGTAACAAGCAAAACGTTGAAAAAACGCCCTTTTGGACGTAATTTAAAATCTGAAACCTTTCAGAGTTTTTTTTTTTTTTTTTTTTTTGTTTGTTTTTGTTTTTGTTTTGTTTCTTTCGCAAATTCTTTATTTTAGAAGCAAGTGGTAACTCGCCGTAACTCTCAAGCAGCCAACTGTTAGACTGAAAACAACACCAGTTAAGTAAATATGCAATTTAAGATCTACTGTAAAATAAATTAAGACCCATTGTAAAATTGTATTACTATGAAATTATGCTGTGTGGAGTTCAACTGAATATCATTTGTTGAAGTGTTTACCGCAGTTTTGAATTACAAAATTTAGTACTGTTACTCTTTTGTTCGAGATCTTAAAATTACATTTCCTATTTTCTGTTTTTATTTCATGGGCTTATAAGCAACGGCGCTAATGAAAAACATTTATTTCGTAACAGCAGCATACACTTTAGAAAGAAATCTATTATTTTGTTAAAAATACTAACTCTGAAACGTCATATAAGGAACACGCTTTTTAGCTACCTTATTGCAAGCAGGTGAGTAATAGCTCATGTAAAAATATTTGTTATGAAAGAAGCCAAAGCCACTAGCATGATTATTCGAGCCTTGAAAAGAATTGCAACTGTTTTGGTAATACTTATTCATGAAATTCAAAGTATTCATGACTTTCCAAAGAAAGTTGTTTTTGTTTCCTAAAAATGCAATTGTTTACCTTCAACCAATTATCCAATTCTTACTTAGAAAACAACTAGCCTTTCTGAAAGTTAAGAACTGTTCAAATTTATTGCTGCTTTAGAAATGGGAACTTTTCCTTCAGTGTCGCAGATTCATAAAGCAGCCTGAAATCTTTCACATTCTCAGAAAACTTTGACCAATATCTGAGTTCGAATTAATTTTTAGTAAGATTTTATGTGGATAATATTTTTGTTCATAAAACTAGGTAACCTTGCAACTATGAAAGTAAGCTCTGTCTGAATTTTGAACATAGCGATTATAAAAACTTTTAGATATTTTGTAACTTGTTATTGTAAATTAGATAAATTTTGGTTATGTACACAAGGGTTCTCAGATATAATTTTTAAAGCCAAAAAACGAGCTAATAATGCTTTAAATTTCACCAATAATTTATAATCTGGTAAATAAAATATCTTCTTAAAGTCAAAATTTAAGCAGTTATATTTCGTGACGGAATACTTGTAAACGCCTTTATTTTATAAGGATTGGAAATCAGCTCTGTATACTGTTAAATACGTCCTGCACAAATTTCGTAAGGTTTATTTTAATTAATGTGTTATTTCTTATGTTGAATCTTTCCTGCACTACCTATTTCGTCTACTCTACCATAAAATGCAAATCAGGTGAATTTAAATAACGAGCGAGAATCGAAGCCTAAAGAGATAGCGATGGGAATTCAGGCTTGGAGTGCTGAGATTATGTTTTCTTTCTATTGGAGTGCTTGCTGATTGTTGTTGAATTAATATTTTACTTGCAGTTACGTACGAAGGCGCACAAGCACAGAAGACCGGTACTTAGCCTAATACTTTGATTAATAAATATCGAGTTACTATAAGGAAGCAAGCACGGGTTACGTTGCATTATTCTCTTTAGTTGTATCTTCCAGCTGAAATACCAGATTAAGCCCAATCGAGATAGTGGTTGGGGACTCTGACTCTTGTGCTTAAAATATATAAACTATATAAACTCTGGGGTGGCTCGCTTGTTGTTCCTGGGAGCTGTTGCTCTGGATTGGAGAGGGCTGGGGCATGCATCGCATCTGTTTACCTATGTTAGACATCAAGTGCCCCCGGCCTCCCTCACTAGTCACCAGTAACTCTGACTACAGTACCGAAGGGCCGAGTTCAAATCCCGGAGAAGGCATAGATGTTTGAAAATGTATAGTATCTGTGAAGTATGGGGGCACTCTAAATATGCGGTGAGACGAAAGTCCTTTAGAAAGATTAGAACAACAACTAAATACTAAATAAATATTTCAGTATTTTTACACTGTAGAGTCATTAGGATTTTTTTAAAGCAAAAGAGATGAAAAATGAGCAGTGTCCTCGCCGGAACTCGAACCACGGACCTTTCGAATACGCATCGAGCACTACACTACGTAGGCATGCTAAAAAGGCGGGAGAACTACGTTATAACATGACTGGTTTTATCAGTTTGTGTTGCAGGTTTCTAAGTCAAGGTGGAACGAAAATTTGTCCTGTATTGTAGAAATACTATTGTATTGTAGTTTAGTTTAAGTGTATAGTTTAAGAGTTTATGAGGTATTTTCCCCCCTTCCTTCCGCAAACCATTGTAGTGTAATAGGAAGCATACTCGAAGCGTATTCAAGAGGGCCGAGGTTCACGTCCCGGCGAGGATAATGTAAATTTTTTACATTTCCTGGTTCAAAAAATTCCGATGATTCTACAACTGGCGCCCGAACTAAAAGGTGGTGAACGATAATTCGTCATCAACAGGAATTTGGCAAGGGGGAGTATATAAGATATTTTCTCCCTCCTTTCTGCATTCTCGCGTACTCTAGAGGTCCAGGGTTCGAGTCCCGGCGAGAGCAATTCACATTTGTCACGTCTCCAGCGTCTCCGTCTCAAAAAAGCCTACTGACTCTACAAGTTTAAAGCTAGTTTTCGAGTGTAATCTAATGAGCTCATGCTTGAAAATTTAATCTATTTTCTATTTGAGGCATTATTTTAAAAATGTCACTCAAGGTGATAATTTTATAGTAGGTATTTCTTAATATAAAGAAGTTAATCTTAAAAATGAAATATTCAAGACTGACTGCTCTTTTGTAAATTTCTAAACTACATTTTTTAATAATACCTGATATAAATGTGAAAGACGCTGTTCTCCTACGTTGAGTAATTTTGGAATTATTTATAAACGACACGTATATAAATAATTAAGTTTCTTTGGTTTGATTACCAAAAAAATTCTGAATTTTTGGATATTTTATAAAAAAAGATACTTAAATAAAGAATGGAGCCTTATTTTTTGCCTAAAAAACATAAATTAATCAGAATACTTTACTTGTTGCTTTACAGAAGGCAAAGCTTACGGAAGCGCAGTTCATTTTTCGAAGAATTCAGATGACTACATTAGTTACGTCTTAAGTATTATTTTGAAATAGAAGAACATCAAAACGATATAAAGAACCGTGAGAAAAAAAGAATGGAAACAATTTAAGATCGACTACGGAAAATTTTAACTACCCTTTGCTGTAGTATAATATCTATTATAGACTCAAATTTAGTGTTTTAAAGTACCCATGACAAAGAGTTCCGAAAATTGAACCATTAAAGAGGTCATATTTTTTCTATTTTCGTTGCCGTTTCGCTTTGCATTCTATGTAACTCTCTGTTGATTTCACCAGAAAATATTTTACATAAGCGCTTATACTGAAACACGAATTGAACTCTGAATTTCACAGACTTCAGCTAATTTTACTAAATTTTGAGCTATTTCAAGATAATTAAGACACAAAAACACGCCGAATAAATACGAATTCAGAAGTAAAACAACAAAAATCAGCGTTATATTTTCAAAATTTTTCACAGTACTAGTTTCGATGGTTTTACCGAACCACCATCCTCAGCTGCAAAACCGCAAATGAACAAGATAGGAAATAATGATTAGATAAGATAAGAAAGCCTGGACAAGAATAAGCAAGTGGCGCCATCTGTTGGTGAAACCAGAACTAAAGCAAAATTTCTTTAAAGGGCGAAGGCAAAGATGGATTATAATTAGGATCGTTAACTAGAACAGAAAGATTTTTTTGAATGTGAAATGCCTCTAGAAAATCCAGTTCTCCAATGGAAGATGTTTTTTGAATAATTTTGGCAGCAGAAAAAATTGAAAGTGTGGAAACACAGAAGTCTTCTGTTGCTCAACATTGTTGGTTCCGAAAATCACACTTTCAATTTTTCTGCTGCCAAAATTATTCAAAAAACATCTTCCATTGGAGAACTGGATATTCTAGAGGCATTTCACATTCAAAAAAATCTTTCTGTTCTAGCTAACGATCCTAATTCCAATCCATCTTTGCCTTCGGCATTTAAAGAAATTTTGTTTTAGTTCTGGTTTCACCAATAGATGGCGCCACTTGCTTATTCTTGTCCAGGTTTTCTTATCTTATCTAATCATTATTTCCTATCTTGTTCATTTGCGGTTTTTCAGTTGAGGATGGTGGTTCGGTAAAACCATCGAAACTAGTACTGTGAAAATTTTGAAAATATAACGCTGATTTTTGTTGTTTGACTTCTGAATTAGTATTTCAAGATAATTTCTTTTCTTTTGGGATTTAGTAGGGAGGCTGAAATTTCAAGCTTCAACGGCATTCATTTAACATTATTAATGCCCTCTGAAACCAAACATTTTTTTAATTCTCAAATACAGGTTCCTCCTCCTTTTTAAGTACGTTGTAATTAATATTAAGGCTGATGCCATACCTAAAACCGAACAACTCGAGAAACTCTCTGCATCTCGAGAGATGTTTCCGTGGTGGTATATCTAAAGGAAAAGGACTTGCATTCACGAATGCAAGGGGAAGTCCATGAAATTTCCACTTAGACCATATCACTTGTCTGGAAACGAAAGCAAGACGAACAATCCGCATTTAATGATCTCATGTCATAACCGAACAACTTAACTTGAAGACTTTTAAAAGGTACATGTTACAACAAAGGCGAGTATATGTCCACACGAATGTTCAGCCGAACTTACTTTCCTCAGCACCTGGTACTTTCTTCCTGATAATAAGGTAATAAATGCCACACAAAAAGTTCTTTAAATCTGTACAGGAAAACTCAACTTCGAAGTACGTATAGATGATATAACTTAAAAATTCTCTCTTAACACTCGTTAATTTTAACCTGCGTTTAAATTTTCGTAAAATAAAATTTAGATTTTATTTCTTTTTTTAATTCAGCTGCAGAAAAATTGGTTACAATGAAGCAGAAACAAATAACGATCGGGAAAAGGAGAATATCAAGGTTCGGCAAAGTAAATCCAGTGCAATCCGCTCAAACTTTTCAACCAAAAATTTAAACTTAAAAATTCCTCATAACAAGATCAGAATTCTGAAGGTAATTTTATTTCACTAATGTGTGAGGAATGGCTGATGCGAAGAAGAAAGATTGTATCGAGTAGCTAAACTTTTAGAATTTTGAGACGAATAGT